TTAATTTTCTTCCCACTACATGGTTCCTTCTGACTAACTTAAGTTCAAAAGAGATCAAAAGGCTATTTCATAAATGAATGTGGAGAGAAAGAATGTGGGTGAAAAAGAAAATGCAGAAGGCATTATATGCCTGAACTTACTGTTTAACAAGACTGCTAGAAAAAACCAAATTTACACATTTTCAGCTCCCTAATAAAGTACTTTTAAATAAATTTTGCATCAAGAATTATTTAAATTGAGGTTGACATTTTTTAAACACCTTTTGCAATAGCCAGTAATAATTAAACACCTGAATTATGCTGTTTGCTCAGTTCTACAAATAGTTTTAACTGCATAGGCAAAGGTCCATATGCACCAATGGAGGAAAAGTTTGATAGGAGAATTCAGACTAAGATTTATTAAGTGGCTTATGAGGATTGTGCTTCTAATATCTTGCCCAAGACTTTAAAATAAGCACCATGGTGAGGGTATACAAAAGATTACAGAGGAAAAGACTTCCCTTTTGCCTGCACAGTCTCCACCTTCTAATTGTGGAAGGTATGGATGTGCTTATTTCCCTCCTCATATGTGTGGGAGGTGTAGGACAGGATAGTTCTCTTCCACCCCTAAAGCAATCATGGAGTGTTAAGCCAGACTAAGTAAGAACTCTGCAAACCCGAATACTCTTCTCCAGAGCACCACTCACCCTTAGATCAATGCTCAAAGTGATGTATAATGCACCTCAGTTTAAAAAACAAAAAGACAAAGATCTCAGCAAAGATCTGTCGTTAATCTGTTGAAAGGATCCAATGTGTTCCCTGGGTGCCTGATGGAAATAATCACCCCACACCAGGTTAAATATAGGAGGTAAGTAATATGGTTATGGATGCCGTGGCATTGGCAGGAAAAAAGGCCACTGGGGGGTGATTTTGGATCCAACATCAGGGAAGGGCGGTAAATCTTGTTTGATCTCACCCTCCGATATAAAAGGAACTGGTGATCTGCCATCAATCGATGGGGCCTAAGGGGCCAGAGGAAACTGAAGACCCTCCAGTTCTGTTGGTCCAGTTCTGTTGGTCGGTCCAGTTCTGAAGCAGGAGTTTCTGTTGCAGTCTGAATTTGTGTAGGCTTTTGACAGTGCTTCTCAGGGATGGAGTCAGCTACTGAGACTTGTGCTTGACTGAACTGATCAGAACAGTTCCAATCTTGAACCTGACGGAACCGATATTACCGAAGATGGTCTGGACAGGTGCTCAACCATGGCAGATGACTTAGCTGCTGAGACTTCAGGTGCAGATAGGGCCTTCTCCCATAAGGCTGCCTTTAAACATGATGCCCTCTCCTTTTGGGCTTTTGGTGTAAATTGCTGACAATGTCTACAACCGGAGACATTGTGGTGCTCACCCAACCATAAAAGGCACAGGTCATGTTCACCTGTGTGAGTCATCTCCGTTCTACAGTGGGAACACTTCTTAAGCAATGGTTTTTGCACCATTACCTCAGATGAGGCTGGGAGACAGTGACAAAGGCTGGTATGGATCTTGACAAGAATGTTTTTTTAAACACAAAGTGGAAAGAACAGTAAACCCAGCAATCCAAAGGGTGAACAAAAATCGAACTTTTAACTGTTTGGTGTGGGTTTTTTTAAACAGAACAAGAGTGCTAGAAACAAAACTTCTCCCTATGGCAGCAAAGAAAAAACAATGTGGGTCTGCACAGAAGACATAATGATAAACACTGCAAACTCAAATACTCTTCCCCAGAGCACCACTCTCCCTCAGCTCAATGCTCAAAGTGATGTATTATGCATCTCACTTTTAAAAAAAGGACAAGAGTTTTCTATCATTTATTTATTTATTTAACTTTTACCCCGCCCTCCCCGCCAAGGCGGGCTCAGGGCGGCTTCCACAAAGCTGATAAACAGTATATATTTTACAATCGATAAAATAGAATAAATCATTTAAAACACAGACAAATCAATTTAAAACATCACTTCGATGGCGATAAAAATAAAGTGCAGTTTAAGGACACATTCAGCAGTGCCACCGCGCTAAGTCATGTTGGATCAGAGTTCACACAGGGTGCTGCTGGTAAGACGCCGCTCTTTATGAATATGATAAAAATACTCAGGAACCATACATGGAGTAGTAATTAGGGACGTGCATTTGTTTCGGATGAACCGGAAAAAAACATGAATAATGCCTATTTGGCATTATTTGGGTCTTCCTAAAGCTGCAGTGGCTCAAGTGGTTAAGACGCTGAACTGCAGGCTGTGGAAGGTCAGTAGTTCAGTGGTTCAAGACCCGGGTGCCGCAAGATAGGGTGAGCTCCTGTCTCTAGTTCCAGCTCCTGCCAACCTAGCAGTTCGAAAGCAAGAAATTGCAAGTAGAGAAATAGGGACCACTTCGGTGGGAAGGTAACAGCGTTCCGTGCGCCTTGGTGTTTAGTCATGCCGGCCACATGACCACGGAAACGTCTTCGGACAGCGCTGGCTCTTCGGCTTTGAAACGGAGATGAGCACCGCAACCCTAGAGTCGGATTCGACTGGCTTTCGAGGAAGGGAACCTTTACCTTTACCTTTAAAGCTGAATCAGATTCCTAATGGATGCCATATAGTCGGCATCCATTCAGGGAAGCCCTTTGCTGGGCAGGGAGAAGGCACGGGGAGGCATTTAAATGCCTCCCCGATCCTTCCACAGTTCTCCCTGGCCCACCAGCCTCGGTGGGCGGGCCAGAGAAGGTGGGGGGGCTCTTTCCAGGCCTTCCACACTCCCCTGGGTGGGCCAGGGAAGGCAGGGGGGGCTCGCTTGGAGGGCAGCGGGGTCCCTTCACTTGGCTTTCCCTTCAATGAAGGGAGTGTGCCACCTCTGTGGCATGACTCGGGGGTGGTGGTTAAACTTTAAACCTTGAGTCACACGGCAGAGGCAGCACACTCATTTCATTGCAGGGAACCTGGATGAGACGCCCCTTGGCTTGACTGGGCACCCCGTGGCTGCAGGAAGCCAGGGCTAGCCAGCCCTTGGAGGGAAGGCAGTTTAAACTGCCTGCCCTTGGCTTGCCTGGGCACCCCATGGCTTTAGGGAGCCAGGGCAAGGCCCCCCCTTGAAGGGATGGCAGTTTAAACTGCCTTCCCTTGGTTTGCCCGGGCACCCTGCAGGGTGCCTGGGGAAGCCGATCTGGGGAGGCAGGCAGGCTGGGGAGGGGGTGGTATTTAAAAATGCCTCCTCCAAACCCTATTTTTCCTTCCTCAGCCACTCAGCTGCTTGTACTGGTCAATTTCACTCCCCAGCTAATCGTGGGGAGTGAAAAGGACCAGATGTTGAGCCTGGGGAAGGAAAGGCTTCAGTGTCATTATGCTCTATGGGGACTTTCCCCATAGGGTGTAATGGCGCTGCATATATTCAGCAGTACCGATTTTTCCTGAACACAGTATCTTACTGATATTGGGATTCGGGAATATCAGTATATACTGATATTTTTCGGGCTTGGTTTACCCGAACCTGAAAAATACCGATTTTTTTTGTGTGCACACCCCTAGTAGTAACTTATGACTGAGAGCTCAAGGTAATTCATGTACCCAAAAAGTAGCTGAAATCCACAGCATATTGACAATTGTCCCAACATATTTCAAATGTAAGCATCTCTTAGGGTGACCATGCCCACTTCCCTCCCTCAGAGGCTTTTTAAAAATTCAAAAATAACAACATAGAGGGGAAAACTCAGGTGAAATCAGGGGTAAAATTTCTGAGGTAAATCAATATAGGCACAGACTACAGTTCATATGTTTCAAGCAATTGAGAGTTTCTTAAGATTTTCAGTGACTTAGAATCTTCAAGATGAGAGGCTTTTGTTTCAGTGTTTCCTAAACACACCAGCATGCTTTCCTATTTGACTCTTGGTTTCCAGAAGGCAAGGAATACTCTGTACGGTACCTAAATTCCTTCACTAAACACACCAGTACTCTTCTCGAGTTTTTTTTTAACTGAATCTTCAGGATTTAAAAGGCAGTTGTTAAACATACCAAACCAGGGATCTCTCCTTTCTTCAGCGCTATCTCCCTGTTTTCACTAAGTAGGGAAATTTCTTCTCTCACTAGAAGATCTATCCCCTTTTCTTGGCCCAAAGGGGAGTCTTCACCTAACTACCCACTCCTCCTACCAACCTTCCCAGTACTCCGTCTGTGTTAAACTGCCCTCAGTCAGTGCTAAAGAAAAACCTTGTCAGTACTAGACTCTTTTCAGTCAGGGCTGAATCAAACTCACTTCTCCTCAGCATTCAGCTCTCAAGTCTTTCTCTGCTCAACTGATGCTAACCAATCAGATCTCTTGGAGCAGCCTGTCATTCAAGGCTTTCTGGCTCGGTGAGGAATTAACCCTTTACAGTCCTGTGCATATTTACGCAACACTTCTGAGCTTTTAAGTGTAGTCTGTCACATCTCTTCATCTGAGATAACAATTTACTGCAGTCATTGGTAAGCAACCATGGAAAAAAATTGATGACACCTCAGAACTCAATTGTAGAATGGTCTAAAAGTCATCTGACTCTGAGAATGGGGGAGGAGGAGGAGGGATTGTTGGAAACACACACAAACAAGCAGAAGGCAGTGGGATCGTGGATAAATAGGCTTGCATACAGATGTCTTCTTTTTAAAAGTGCACGGTACCCTACACAGTTTTCACATAGAACAACTAAAAAACTGGAAATAATGTTTAAAATATAAAACAAATTTAGTTAATAAAAGCAGCAAAACATTATATCTGTAAATACAACAGGATGCTGATGAAATGTTCTCTGAAGAGTATGAATGTTCTTCCGATTAAAATGGGTGAACAAAAGATATTATCTGAGCTATTTTGTAATATTTTCAGATATGAGATACTTTTCACAACTTGTTTGCCAAGACTCTTAAAAACATTCTGGTCAGAATAGTCCAGAATGACCACAAGAACATAGTTCAAGTCATACAGAAGTTTGTTAACTTCTGTGTTGCCGATGTAAATCAAAATAAAACAAGGCTCTACCTTTACAAGATTCAAGATAATGATGGGGGAGCCAAATCTCTGAAGCATCTGATCAAAATGAAGTGCAGCGACACGTGAAAATGGATCTGCCTGGTCCACTAGGAAAAAGAACAAATTATTACTAGGTGAAACAACATAGACAGCCCTGAAGTTGCCATCTGATAGAAGAAAATAGAATATAAGCACTGGTTTGCCCCATAGGAGTGCTAAGAGAATACACCAAGCAGCTGATTCCAAAACAAAGACTCAAAGGTGGTCTACAGAATATTTGAGATTTTCCTGTGAGGCCATCAGCAGTAGGCTGGTAGGGAGAATAAAATGAAAATATTTAAGAAAACCACAGTCCCAAGTCAGTGTTTGGAACACAGATGTACAGCACAAAGAGGGAATCCCCTCCCCTCACCCCAAGGCTATAGACTGATTACACACTGAAGCTAATTACTGAGGCACAGAACAGCCACCTATCCATGTCTCTTTACTGTCTTGGGACACCAAACATGAAAAACAGGTTGCGTACCAGTAACTGGTGATCTTCGAGTGGTCATCTGTGCATTCACACCAATGGGATCGAGTGCACCTGCGCTGGATCTGCCGGTGCCTAGCAAGCTCTTTTAGAAGGATTTTCGTGCCTGGCCCAACTGAGCATGCCCGGGAGCCCCAGTGAGCATGCCCAGAAGGGCAGGCACGGACATCCCGCCAGTTCCTACCAACCGCCGCGCATCAATCTCCTAACAAATCACGTAGAAGACAGCAGCAGGGCAGGAGGGCGGGTGGTGTGAATGCACAGATGACCACTCGAAGATCACCAGTTACTGGTAAACAACCTGTTTATCTTCTTCGTGGTCTCTGTGCTTCACACCAATGGGAGATTAGCGAGCAGTAGTTTACCTGGAGGCGGGTGCTGTCAGGTGTTTACTGCTTAGCCGAAGCCAAAACCTGACGTCCCAGACTGTCACTGGTGGACTGGCGGACATCTAGGGCGTAGTGCCTGATGAATGTAGTCGGCGTGGCCCAGGTTGCGGCTCTGCAAATGTTTTGCAGCTGTACTCCCTTCAGGAACGCAGTGGATGTGGCTACAGCCCTGGTGGAATGAGCCCGGACGGGGCCTGGCAAGGGCCGTTTCGCCAGTAGGTAACAGAGTTCTATGAGACCTAAGATCCACCTGGACAGACGCTGGGCCGTGATTGGAGTGCCCACACGGGGTGCAGCGTATGAGACAAACAGCTTAGGGGTTTGCCTCGTGGGGCGTGTCCTATTCAGGTAGAAGAGGAGGGCCCGCTTCACGTCTAGCGTGTGCATAAGTCTGTCTTCCGGTGATTTTGGGTCAGGGTAAAAATCAGGGAGGAAGACTTCGGACTGCAGATGGAATTCAGAGACCACCTTGGGCAAAAATGAAATGTCCGGCACCAGGCGGACGCCATCCGGGAGGAAGGACAAGTATGGCGAGTCCTGCCGAAAAGCCAGGAGTTCACCGACTCGCCTGGCCGAGGTGACGGCGACGAGGAAGGCCGTCTTCCAGGCCAGGAGCTTCAGCTGACAGGTGGCGAGGGGTTCGAAGGGCCGACTTGTCAGCTGGCGCAAGACCAGGGGAAGATCCCATAAAGGTGCTGGAGCTTTGACTGGAGGGTACAAACGTAGGAGACCCTTCAGGAAACGTTTG